GCCAGAGGGTGATGTCACAGTGGATATATCCTCCTTCTCTCTGTGGAGGAAACCAACTACTTAAATTCTAAGACAATATCTTTGTGATGGCATGATTGTTTCTGGTTGTTGGAGTATTTCTCTACCTCAACAGCTAGTATTTGAAGAAGCGAGGAGATGGAGCTGCTAGTGAGAGGAAAAGAAATCTTTTTTTTTTGGTCTTTCAGGCCTGGAAATAGCACAGGCGTGAAGTGCTGTAGAGTGCTATGGCACGGTGTGTCGATATGTGGTTGGCCTAGCTGCTGCTGGCGTGGGCTTGAACATAGAGAATAACACACACACACTGTTCCACAGTCATGTGTTTCTGACTTAATGCACATTCTCAGTAAGAGGCACTTACATTTTGAAATAACTGAAGTAATTCAGAACCACAAAGGTTGTGAATAATCTGTCTTATCTTTGAATCTCACAAATGGAAATATTTCCCTTATGAGCCACACGCCCCAAACTACAGATAAACAAAGATCACATATGGCATATGAGATTGTTTTGAGTTTCTACACAGTACGTTTTTTTCCTGTATTCAATGTAATTATTGTTAGGACGAACAGGAGGGAAATGCAGCTCTTTTCCGTACCTGCTGGTCCAGGACTTGAAACTAACTTGTTACAGGATCAATCTACCTGCCACTACCCATAACCCTACTCTCTCCATCTAACAGCCAAGCGTAAAAAGGTTTTTGTTTTTCCTATGGCATAGTTTTGCTGCACAAAGCTCCAGGCGCGGATCCAAATCACAGTATTGGGTGAAGAGAGGTTTAAAAATCTACCCCGGAGTAGCAATGACAAAAACACAGCTGAGGAAAAAGCTAATTGCAGGACGAATAAGAACTCAAGTGAAGCTAAAATATTTCAGTCCCCCCAAACATTCCTCAGAGATCCATGTTTTTAGAAGGGTGTTCAATACAGAAAGCAGACGTGTGATCAATGACCCAGAGAATTCAATTAGCTAGAAAGAGAACGCACCACAGCAGACATGTTCAGTTAATAGTTACAGATACTGAAAAGGTCTAAATAGATGTAACAGAAAGAAAAGAAACAGTCACTGATTCATTCATTATTTAAGTAATTTATCAAATTACTGTAAATACAAAGAATTTTCCAGTTTCAGCCTCTTGAATCTAAAATCAGAGACAATTAAATTCCTTTAAAGATGCCCCCTTTGAAATTTGGACAATTAATCAATAAGTCAGTTAGTTTGGCAGTGATGCTTTAAATCATGTTAAAAGCTGAAACACTGACAAAGCTTTTCCTTTTTTGGCGGCCTGTCCAGGACAACAGCAAGGACAGGCTCCAAAATCCTGAACTGCATAAGTAGTTAAGAAAATGGATGGATGGACGGTTCACTCCTTAAGCTTTGAACAACATAAGTCTTTGATCATTTGCTTTCACTGAACTGGAAATTGCATATTTGCCAAGGTCACTTCAAGAAGACCAAAGAGCTGGGCCAAAAGCACGAAACAGTCATTCTTACTCATCTGATTTATAAAGATGTTTATAAGTGTCGAGTCATTTTCATACTGGGAGATGTGCACAGGCCTGATTTGCACTCCCACAGTTTGCATTCGTCCGTGTAGCTGCACTAGCTATTACATCTGTCAGTGTGAAGCGCTGCAAAGACAAACAGCTATTTCAGCTGTGTCAGTGAGTTTCTGCACCTGCAGCAAACCGGCTTTCATTAGCCGTGTAAACCTGTAAAATCATCAATAGTAGCGACATCCTAATAATCAGAATCAAATACAGAAAATGCTGAATTCTTCATTGGAAAACACTTTACCTATATAAACTACATAAAGTAAAAAGACCACCGCATAGAAAGAAACAGTTGGATGTTAATGAGAGTTCATGATTATTCGTAAATAACTGAG